GTTGGTACTAGAGTTTGAACTTGGTGCCTCATGTTTGCTAGGCAGGTGCTCTACCATAGACTTGAGCCACTCCACCAGCCCTTTTTGTGTTGGGTATTTTTGAGGTAGGGTCTTGCAAACTATTTCCCTAGGCTGACTTTGAACCACGATCCTCCTGATCTTTGCCTCCTGAGTTAGGATTACAGCATGAGCCACTGGTGCCTGGCTTCTGCCCTGCTCTTGAGTGTGAGAGCAGAGCGCCACCTACCAAAGTGGAGATAGGGCTGAGGCTCTCCTTGGCCAGGCTCTAGGATTCAATGTTTGCATGGAATCCAAGGCCTCACTCATCTCAGGGATTGGCTTTCCTGTTGAGCCCTACCCACAGGCCCTCCTGGAGTTTCAGGAGATTCTCAGGGGGACATTTTTCCTGCAGGGCTGGAGGCTTCTCATCTCCAACATCAGTGAAGCCCTTTGCTGTCGTAGCTTTGATTATTGGCACGCTGTCTCCTGTTGATGGAGATGGGAGGAGTTTCCTCTAGCTCTTTGCTCTGTACCTATCCAGCAACTTCCCTGGGCCCCTCTGCCCAGCTGCATTTGGCTTTGGACCTCATTGTGGAGCCCTCAGCAGAGCTCATACCCTGGTGGCCCCTGACGAGCACAGGGATGGATTTTATGTGGCCTCTGTGGTGTTTGGAAGTATTTGAACCAACTGTATATTTCATACAAAAATCTGAGCTCCAAGCCTGTCTGGACAAAGCCAAGACTTTGCTGGCAGCAGCCTGTTGTGGTGGCCTGGTGGATGGTCACCTCCCTAGGACACCTGCTAGCCCATTCACCTCAGCCCCACCCTGCTCACCTTTCCTGTCTGCCGGCAGCTAACATACTGGGCTGCCCAAGTCTACTGCCATGGTGGAGAGCTGACGCAGAGTTCATATGGTTGCCTCAGTAAACCTCCATTCTGCTTTTTGAGCCTCTTGCAGGCTGGAGCAAGGACTCGGTATCTCCCACTTCCTGTGCCTCTGCCCAGGGTGTGTTTTTACGGCTTTAATTTAAACAAGGGCTTCTTGATATCTTGTTTACGAAGCTGCCAGAGTGAAAAATTCCTGTATTATATGAGGCTCGAAGTCCTCGAGTTATCTCAGCTCCACAACACACAACATCATTATCCCACTGGCCCTTATCACTCAGTTCTGGTGCGCCTGCAGGACCCCCTGCCACTGTGTTATAGCGTCCACCACCCGCCTGCCGCCCCTCCAGCTTCACCAGGATGCTCACTGCAACAAGCGTCAGCCGCCTCTTGATAGATTAGATATCTCAGTGATGTTATGAGGTCTGGTAAATCTTTAAAAGTAACTTTTTTGATTTATTTAACCATCGTATTTATCAAGCAAATAAAAAATGCCTTCTCTCGCCTGAGTGCTTATAGGCAACGATGCCCATGCTAGAGAGGGAGGTTAGAGCCCTGAGGGTCCTGGGCAGGTTGTCTCTGCTGGAATGGTGCAGGGGAGGGCTGACCTGGGTCGGTCACTCTCCAGTTAAGTGAACACAGCACCCTGGCTGTGACACCATTCAGGCAGGCTGTCGTGTTGCCTGTGCCCCCTGAACATGCAGGCCAGCAGTGCTGGCAGCCATCAGCTCCCTGCCCACCAGCCCAGGCAGGGTGAGAGAGACTGAGCAAGGTTATATTTGATCACTTTTTCTCTTCCTAAAGATCATTAAGATCCGAGCACAGACAGAGGGTATCAGCATCAGCGAGGAGGCGCTGAACCACCTGGGGGAGATCGGCACCAAGACCACTCTGAGGTGAGCAGAGCTGCCCAGGGCCCAGGCTTCGTCCACCCTTGCTGTCATGACAAGGCGTGGTGAGGGAAGGGTGTCTCCAGGTGCTGCAGTTTATAGTGCTGAGGATCTGGAGATGACTTTAAAGCCCAGCGTGACCGGCAAGGCTCTTGTGGTGCAGCCCCCTGCCTCTGGGAAGGGCTTGCGCTCACCTGGCTAGCAGGTGTGGTCACCATGCCCGATTTGTGTGGAGTGGTGCTTTGAATGACTGAGTTCCTGCCGTGGACTGCCACGGGCCTCCAGTTGCCGGTGTTCCTGCATAGGAAATGTCCCTGTCAGTGCTTGCTGTTGCTCACCTGGCACCTGTGCACATGTAAGTTTGTAGTCCATGTCAGGAAGCAGGGGAGTGGCACTTGTGTCATGTCAGTGGCCCCTGGCCCCTCTGATGACTGCTATGCTTGTCTGGGTCCTTGCCTGGGGCTTGCTGTGTAGCCCAGGCTGCCTGCCGACATGGGGCTTCCTTCGGTGGCCTGAGTTTCTCTCTGCTGTGACTTCTGTCCACTGTAGGTACTCAGTGCAGCTGCTGACCCCGGCCAACTTGCTGGCAAAGATCAACGGGAAGGATAGCATCGAGAAAGAGCACGTTGAGGAGATCAGTGAGCTCTTCTACGATGCCAAGTCCTCAGCAAAGATCCTCGCAGACCAGCAGGATAAGTACATGAAGTGACTTGACGTGCCCAGGTGTTTTGCAGGGAGAAGCCCACGTGCCTAGGCTGGGTGCAGCCCATAAACAGATGGGCTGTCCCCCAGACTGGCCGCCGAACCTCTGGTTTGAAGTGTTGTTAGCTCCCCGTGGAAAGTGTTTCTTCTTTCTTCTTAAATGATCAGAACTTCCGTGGCTGCTTTGAAGGAGCCATCCTCACCTGGCATGTTTTTAAATAAAACCTTAGAGAGAATCCTGATGCCCTCTCTCTCTCTTTAAACTTTTTCAAAATAAACTTTTCTAATATACCTAAGGCACTGGGTTCAGTCCCTAGCACCACAAAAAATGAATCAACATTTAGATTCTTGGCTTGACTATGAAGGCAGAATAGGAAGTTCCTGTGAGCTTGCACCTGCCTCTGTCACTGTCGACACTAGTGTTACGTGGCACACTTGTCCCAGGGAGTGACCAGCACTGACCACTATTACGCTGCACTCACATTCCTCAGTTAGACCTAATGCCTTTTTTCTTTCCCAACATCCTGCTCAGAACACCTGGCTGGATGTCAGTGCTCCTCAGGCTCCTCTTAGCTGTGACAGTTTCTTACATTTTTCTTTTTCTTGGCCACACTTGGGTGGTTTGAACTCAGGACCTTGCGTTTGCTAGGTGCTCTACCACTTGAGCCACGCCTCCAGCCCTTCTTCCTTTAGGGCCAGCCTGGACGGTGATCCTCCTGAGCTGCACCTTATTTCTGGTGACCATGACCCTTTTGGAGAGGACCTGTCCGTCAGGTCTTCTGTTGTTGAATGGCCCTCAGTTGGGGTTTGTCAGAAGTTTTTCTCATGAGTTTGTAGGGAGGAAGCGCAAGTAAATGACCCTTCTCATCACCTCCCGTTAAGGTGACAGGCCACTGGTGTTGGCCTTGGTTAAGGGTTCTTGTTTGCAGGAGCCTGAGGAGCACTGACATCCAGCCAGGTGTTCTGAGCAGGATGCACACTTGCTCTCAAGGGGTAGGAGTTGTACCCCACCTCCTCCTGAGCTAGGTGTTTACCCGATTATTTGGTGTCCTGCATTTGTTTATTAAAAATCATTTATGTCACTATGAACTCAAAAGGTATTATATGCTTGGGGGGGGGGGTTGGTTTTTTTGAGAACTGGAGATCCTCCTGCCAGAGAAGCAGCTGGGGATTCCATCTAGTCCTGTTGCCAGAATGCTAGACAGGCTCTGCCAGTCCCTGTTGCCAGAATGAGCCTTCTCCTGTGGGCCCAACTCTTCCAGCGACCCCAGTGTGGCGTGTGGGAGGTGGCGGCAGCTCCTGAGATAAGACCCCAGGTTGTGTCCCTGCTGGTTGCTTGGTCCTTTGAGTGCCTGCAGCCTCTGGCCTGCAACTCAAGCCGTATTAGAAGGAAAAAGAGTAATGCTGAGATGTAGCCTGTGCTGCTGTGTGCCAAGGGCTGCTTGTACTTGACATGGCTTTATTTATTTACTATGTTGAGACAGGGTCTTGCTGTACAGCCCAGGCTGGCCTTGAACTTGAACTTTCTGAGATGCCCCAGCTGACATTGTTTTGCCTTCACAGAGAAGGCCCTAGGGGATTGATGTGGGTTCTTCAGCCCACTGTACAGGTGGGGAAGATGGAATTCAGGCCAAGGCACCTCCCCATCTAGCAAGAGATGGAAAGCAGGACTTGAAACCAGACTGGCTGGAGCCATGCTGCGGCTCCCATGGCTTCCTTGTGTGTGTGGAGTTTTGGGTATTGAGCAGTAGCTGGCACCTTCAAGATCTAACCTCTGTCCGGGCAAGTGAGGCAGGCAGGGTCCACTGTGAGGAAGGTGACGAGAAAATCGGGCCTTTGCCCAGGCTGGGCCTCTGGCCTCGGCCCCAGTCCTTCACTGTATCTTGAGCAGCAGGAGAGAAGCAGCAGCAGCAGCAGGTCCCCACTGTGGGTTGGGACAGCTTTCCAGCTTCTCAGGCACCCTGACCCTCGGATGGCTCCTGGGGTGTTCTGGCCTGGCAGAACCCAGGAAAATGGCCTGCCTCACCCATTGGTGCTCCAGAGGGAGGGAATGGTTCTGGAAATGTAGGACGGTTTGGTTATTTTAATTTCCCTCCTATTTTTCCAGCAAGGCCTGTGATTATTACATTAATCTTGGAGCTGAAGTTTTTACGGCCAATCCTTCCCAGACTGAGGGAAGTTTCTCCATCCATTACCAAGAGGGAAACAGACCCCAGCGGGGAGGAAAATATTTGTTACATCTTATCTGGCTGACACACAATCTAGCAACAATTACAGCAGCCCCATTTTTTGCACTATTTCAGTTCCAGAGTGAAAAACTGTTGCAATATTAAAGTGAGGCAGGGTGGGGGCTGATCACAGGAAGTGGTTGAATATTCCAAGCTCTGGCGGGTCAGATGGCTGAGGAGGGACCAGATGCACTGACAGGCAGACCAAGGGGAGGGCGCCCACGCCAGCTTGCGTCCTGGGTACATGCGCCCTCACAGGAGAACGGGACTAAGAACGCGGAGTTGCAGGGGCTGGCACTCCCGGTTGACCCTCATCTCAGACCCGGCGTCCAGCGCTGGCCGGGCCGCAGGTGGGAGGGGTAGCAATGGTCCTGGGCCATGCTGACGGCGTCTGCACCAGTGACCTGACCGAATTTTCCTCCTCTGGCCCTTGGTCCTGATGGCTGTTCAGTTCCTCTCTTGATTCCCACTGAGAACCTGGGGGCGGTGCAGCAGCCACCAAGAGGAGCCGTTTGTCAGGACCGCCGTGGGCTCCGGGGCCCCAGGCCAGGGCCCCTCCCTCAGTCCCCCGCCACCTCCCCCGCCTGTCGCCCGCCGGCCCTGTCGCCCTCCCGTCACTCCAGCAGGCGCGGTGATTAATGGCTGGCGCGGCGGATTGATGCGGCTGTCGGGCCGCCGGCCGCACTGACCCCCGGCTCGGCCTCGTGCGATCAATGGGCGGCGCGCGCGGGCGGCGGCTGGGCCGCCGCGATAAGATGCACGATGGGCGGCCGCCGATTGCCCGCTCCGTCACCCGCCCGTACCGTCAGCGCCGCGTGATTAATGGGGACGCCGCGGCCGCGCGCCGTCACTTGAGGCCCGCGGCAGCCCGCTGGCCCCCGGGAGGCGCGGGCGGACAACGCGATGGAGCCAGCGCCCTCGGAGGGCCGGGAGAGCCGACGCGGGGCGGCCTGGCCTTCCTCCCCGGCCGGGCCACAGCGCCCCCGCGTGGCTGAAGCGTGCGGCACCGGCCCCGCCCCTCCCTCTGGCCCCGCCCGCGGGGCGTGGCCAGACGCAGCCCTCCTTCCTCCCGCCCCGCCCCGGGGGCGTGGCCAGGCTGCACGTGGGGAAAGAGCGAGGGGAGGGTCTACCGCGCGCCTTTCATTTCCGAACATTGCGCGCACCTCGGCCGTTGACTGGGTCGCTTTGAACCTGGTACAAATTTCAGAAACTACCGCAGGGGTGGCGCGGCGCCTTCCTCCTCCCGCCCCGCCGGCCCTCCGTCATCCTCGCTGAGCTTCCCTCAGCGGACCACGGTCCTGAGTGACCATCGGAGAGTCTGACGAGGTCACCGAGTCCTTTCAAGATCTCCGCCGCAGTTAGTTTGCCGTTCCAGGCTGTCCTGCGAATGGCATGGGGTAGTGTCCATCTTTTGCGACCTCTTCCTTCGTTTACGATAACGCGCTTCAGGTCCTTGGAGGTCCGCCGCCTGTTCTTGCGGCCATCGTGCGGATGTCCGGTCTGCTTATCCACTTGCCTGTTGGTGGCCATTTGGGCTGGCCGATTCCAGCTACCATGACCCCTTGGGTGATACCCACGAGTGGACCGCTGGGTGAACGGCATGTGTATTTAGTTCAGGGGGACGGGCTTGCCCTTGTCCTGACGTGGCGCCACTCCACTCTGAACACACAGTAGTGGCGCACACTGCATATTCTGCTTGTCCTTCCCTGGCAGCAGACCCTGGAGCTGCTTCTTCGCCCACAGGAAGTCCTCCTTGCCATAGGATGGCCGTGCAACTCACTCACCCATTCACCTCCCTTTGCTTGAGACAGACAGGGTCTTGCTATGTAGCCCAGGCTAGCCCCAAAGCCGTGATCCTTCTGCTTCAGCCTCTGGCGTGCCTGGCCTCCGGACACCTTTGGATGGGCATGTGTGTTTCTAGCTTTATGAGCTGGGCTTTGAAGAACGAATAGGAGTTTGTCAGGCAGATGGAACACAGAAGCCCTCTTGCTGGGATACGAGTGCCCCACAGAGCACAATGAGCTTGTAGAGTGCAAGGAGAGGCACCCCTGCCCTCCACTCCTGGCCACACAAGCAGGAGCCAGGGCTGCTGAGGAAGCACCAGGCTGGGTAAAAACTGGGTGGGCAGGGCAGGAGGCTGAGGCAAGGCCTTGTCCAGGGCAAGCCTGAGTGAGTGGACACATGGTCTGACACAGACTCCCACAAAGGCCTGCTATGCTGGCCCACACCAGGGTGGGGTCCAGATCAGCCTCCCAACTGAGGGAAGCCTCCTCAGCGACTGGCTGTGCCCAGCCAGATGTGAGGAGCTGTGAAGCTTCCCTCTGCCCTCCCGGGAGCCTAGAGCAGCACACCAGGCCCTGCCCCAGGGCTCCTTATGGCTGATTCCCGTGAGCACGAGACGGTAACTGCCACCGGGAGCGCAGCTGGGCATGGTGCCTCTCAGGAGACTGCCATGTGGGGAACCCCAGCAGCCAGTCGAGCCTTCCACACCTATGGGTGCACCAAGCCCTCTGCCTCAGTAGCCCTTCTGCGAATAATTTTAAAAAAGAGAACGTGACCAAGCAGGTTGTAAAAAGTTGGCTTTATTTGTTACTTATTCACTGTATCTCAGTTGTGCCATTTTGGCATCCACAGTGATGGTTCCCTGGAGGTGGGGTCAGCCCCACCCACCCACCATGACCATCAACCAAGGGTGTGAGCCGGGTCACAGACCTGCTGGATGGCTACAGCAGCAAGCAGGGCCGCAGGGCTCCCCCGGGCCTGGCACTTCCAGCCCATAGCCCGTGAGATGGGAGGCAGCCACTGCCTACCAGAAGAGGCAGAGTCCCCAGGGGTGTGCTGGCAGGTCCTGCCACCCCATGGAAGGGGCAGAGGAGAGGGAGGTGGGAGGACCCTGTGGGCTGGGAGGGCCTCTGACCACAGGGCCTCCCTCTGCTGAGGACTGGGTCTAGGCAAGGCCACGTGTGATAAAGTATGAGCCCTGGGTTGTAGGCAAGGGCTTGGCCCTCCTGCTCTGCCAGGTGGCTGAGGCAATTAGCTTGTCCCTGACACCGCTGGCTAGCACAGCTAGCGGGGTCTCCTAGGAGCCCTGACTGATTTAGACAGGGATAGTGACAAAGCTGGCCACTTTCCAAAGTGGCAGGGGCTCTGTGTGACCCTTTGCATGGCTGTGCTCACCTCCTGCAAGGACTCCCCTGACTCCCCATAGCCTAAAGGTCAGATGACAACCTCTAGTTCCCTCTGGCCCTCAGTCCCACCTGGCTGCCATCCCTGACAGCAGCACCTGGGCGGGAGGAAGAGTTTCCTAAAGTCCAAGGGTCCTGGTCACTCACATCACCTGTCATCCCAATCAGAACTAACTTCAGACACAATTGTGAGCAGATTCCCCCAAAGAACCCCAACCCCTTGACCTGATTTGACCAGTGATCCTGATCCTGCATACTCTCCTGCCTTGACGCTGGTGAGTGTGGAGGAGACTGACTGCTTTTGGTCCTAAGCACAGTAAGAAATTCTAAAATTCCAAGCAGGAGGTTTTCCGGCTGGAAGGCGGAAGAAGCTTGTTGAACACCAAGCCTTCCGTTCTGTGTCTGACCCTCCCTGGTGGGTTGTGGGGAACAGAGTGTAACTATGGGAGACAAGACCAATGACTGGCAAAATCTGAACAAAACGATCGCTGAAAGGGTCCCCCATTTGTACAGCTACTCAGCCAGTCAGGCTCTACTGGGTCAAGGCAATGAACCTCACCTGACTAGAGGACACCAGCTGCCTGGCTCCAAGCTGGAGGGACAAATAGGCCTTGTGCTCTACCTCAAGACTGGCCTCAGACACCTGGCAAACAACCCACAGCACAGGCAGGGACACCAGCAGACAGCCTGGTTTCTCAGAAATTTATCCCTCTCCTAAGAAAACCTACTTTTAAAAGGGAAAACAATGGTGTCTTACACAGAAACAGTCTTAAGCCAGATAATTCCACCCTGATAGTGACAGAAACATGCTGGTGAGATCCTCACATTCATGTCCCCAGAAAACAGGATCTGCTCCCAGCCTCATGCCCCGTGGTCCCAAACAAGGTGTAGACCTTGTGTTTGTGCTTCCAACCCAACTGGGGCCAGAGGCTGCAGGGGGCAGGTGAGACAGCTGCGGCCATTGTGGCACTGAGAAGTGTGGAGGGCTGAGAGTTTACAGGACAGCTGGGACGACTGGCTACCATTCCCTTCTGGCAGTCACCACCACTTCTTTTTTTTTTTTCTTCTTGCCAATGCCAGAATAAAAAGCAAAGTTTCAAATTGGAAAATTTCTAGCACTTTACACAGTGGAATGAAAGGATATGAAATTAAAAAAAAACATCATTAAACTCAAGTCCGTATGCCACAGCAGCTCGCTCCGCGGTATGCGCTCCCTTCCTGGGCAGCTCTGGAGCATGTGTCTCCCCAGTGCAGGGGAGACCGGCTCAGAACAGAAGGGCTCCCATGCTGCCCACCTCGCTCTGCTCCTTGACGAAGATCTCAAAGTACTGGTAGATGATGGTGACTGCAAGCAGGATCCCAGTTCCAGACCCGATGGCACCCAGGAAGTCAGCCAGGACCGAGAGGGCCCCTATGCACAGCCCGCCAAAGGCCGCGGCTGTGGGAATGTACCTGAGGAGTGGGCAGTGGTCAGCCTGGGCCTTGGCTGAACCCCAGTCTCGCTCAGCCAGGCTGCAGGAGGACCAGGAGGCACAGCAGGCTCATCATGATTTGGAAGCCTGAGGCCTTGGTCCTACTACCACTCACTACTGTCCAAGACAAAAGCTGCTGGCTGAGCTGGACCCATGGGACTAAGGAAATGTGACCAGTCTAAACTGAGACACTCAAGATGTCACACAAGATTTTAGAGCTAGATTGAGAGAGCGCCGAATCCTAACCACTAGACCACCAGGGAGCGTCTAGAGCTAGATTGAAAGCAACAATGTAAACTATCTCATCTTGATTTTTCTTACATTAGCTAGAAACTGAAACCCTCTGAATATGCTGAGTAGACAGAATGGTACAATTAAGAATGTACACAGGGGACTAAACTTCTTCATTTCTACTGAGTAGCGTTATTAAGGCTCAGTGCTACGGAACTGAACTGAATGTCCTGATTAGAAAGGGACCTGGATTTGTGATTCTGGCTTCCCCTGTGCTGTTCCCATCAGGTAAGGAGTTGGCAAGTCACCGCCCTGAGGACAACCTGGTTCTGTCGGCTAGAAACCCAGCCTTCCTTTTCTGTCTACATGCTGGCTGCTTTTGAGTGCGCCTAGAAAGGCTGCAACACATACTAACCCCCTGCCCTTTCTGCTACAGAGGCAGTGCCATCATCAGTGATAAAGATATGGGCCTGCAGTGCTCTGGGAGCTATGGAATCCCTAACCTCCCTCCTCTCCATCCCAAAGTGACAGCCAAATTTGGCCACCATCACCTCTGGCTCAAGCTCTCACGGCAGCCTGGCCACTTGTGGCCTCCTCTGCCATCTGGTATGTTCTCATTTTCCAGCTCTAAACTTCCTGCCTGCTCAAACGCTGCCAGTCCACTGTATTCTCAGCCTCACCTTTGCCTTCGGCCCTAATCTGTCACAGGTGACAGGACTCGCCTGCTAAGCTTACAGCTAACCTGCTCCTGGGCTCCCTCAGCTCCTCCTGTCACAAGTGAGGGTCCCAGTGCCACCTGTTTTGCCTCTCTCTGCACCCCCCATACCATTCTGCACCTGCCTGACATATTTCCTTCTTCCTGCCCAGAAGACCCAGAGGGGGCTGTGTGTGGCAGTTCTTAAACCCTCAGTGCCGAGCACCTGACAAGTTCATAAACGTGTAACAACAACGGACCTTCCCTGTCCTATAACCCAAAGATCAGATTTATTGAACCCAAAACACCAAGGCCTCTCAGGACAGCACACAGAACTACGTGTCCAGGGCCATACTCACCGGTTGAGTTCGTGGACCATGGAGGTCTCCCGGTGGCCTCTCATCACCATCTGCTGCTCCTTCAGCTGCTTGGCGACCTACAAACATCCAGAGCAAAAGAGTTCAGTTTAGCTGGGTGTTTCACTGACACTGATCACAGGGACTTTAAAGTTGCTGCAAGGAGGTCCCATGACAGTCTAACCATCCAGTGTGACTTCAGGCTTTAGACCCAGGGACCACTTACTGGCAGCTCCGCCTGTCTTCTGTCCTTAATGTTTCTGAACTGCCCCAACTAAGGGGTTGGTCCATCTGCTTGTCACAAACCACTGTTTATGAAGGTTTACAAGCCAGCACCCCATGCTAACGACAGTTCACCCACCTCTGGGAAACATCTAATGTACTCACATCCTTGGCAGAGGAGCCCGAGACCTCGATCCACGTCTTGGAGAAGAAGGCACAGGAGCCCAGCATGAACACGATGTACACAACTGCATGTACCGGGTCTTCTAGCACGGAGCCAAAGGACTCTGGTGGGGACAGGTAATAGCACAGGCCACCAACTGGATATGCACGTGCTGGGCCCCCAGAAGAAGTGTCCTGAGAGAAAAACAAGAGGCCTGGGAATTCAGTTTCACTGGACCTCAGCCATGACACAGAAAAGCTCTGAGCAGAGGAGAGAATGTGATTTCACCTAACGCCCACAGGTCAATCTTCTTACAGAACTGAAAACTGTATACACTGAATTTCTAAGAGGCAATCACCACGAGGTGAAACACCTGGTCATGAGCAAGACACAGCCGCAAACCACTGCAACATCACCAAAACACCATCCCACTTCTAACAGCCACACTTACCGACCAGGTGCCCAGCAGGCTGACCAGCAAGTTGCCACTGAAGCGAGCTGACAGCATCTGGGAGATGACGTACAGGTTGGACACCAGGGCAGACTGCAGGATGATGGGGATGTTGGAGGTGTAGAACAGCTTGATTGGGTAGGTGTTGTACTGGCCACGATAGCGTGCTGACTTGATTGGCAGGTCCACACGGAAGCCCTAAGGGGCAAGCCAAACAAAGATCCTTCACTGCTCAAGTCCAGTCCCCCAACCTTGGGCATACAGACTGACCAGGCAGGATGGTCAGGCTGGCAGACTTGCCCTGGGCACAGGGCCTGGGGCTCCTAGACCTGACAATGCTGAGCCCCTTTCCTGAGTCATCCAGAAAAGCTGGAAGGACACTGAGCCCTTACAGTGCTTCCTGTAGGCAGGATCAGTTCCATGGTGGGACAGTGCTGCTAACCATGAACAGAAAGCCCAACTCTTCACCAAGGCCACCCAAGAGCCCTTTGAGACCCCAAGAAGCATCTCTTTCACCTTATTTTCATGAACTCCCAGAGCCCAGAACAGGGCTCACAGTGGAGGATATACGATAAATTCCTAAGGGTCCAATTGCAGGTACTGCCATGCCCTGAAGAGTTAGCTTGTTATTAGCTAGCCACTTGATTAAGTAAGACTCAACGCAAGAGAATGATTTATTTGGTCCTAATTATTTGGTCTTCCATAAACATTAAATGCCTTTCAAAACTGCTGACCCTTCCTTTTTTTTTTTTTTTTTGAGACAGAGTCTCACTTGGTAGCCCAGACTGGCCTTGAACATGTCATCCTCCTGCCTCTGCCTGCTGGAGTTACAGGCATGTACCCACTATGCCCAGTTAATTGCTGTCCCTTTTCAGTGAATATCAAAGTACAAACTGGACAACCAAAAAAATACAGAGATCAATCCAACTATAGAAAAGCAACTAGCAGGTCAGGCCTCTTGTTCAGAAGTGAGTTAGAGACTTTTAAACGTAAGAACCCCTAGGAGGAAAGGCCCTTCCCAAGGTGCAAATATGGCCACAAAACCTCTGCTAACAGGGTGGAGAATGTGTCTTAGAGCCTGATGGCTTCAAGATGCAGAACACCCTGTGGGGGACATCTGGACACACCTGGAAATAGATGACAACGGCAAAGACAAAGATGGTAGCAATCAGATTCATGAGGTTGGGGAGATTCTGGCGGTAGAAGGCCTCACGAAGGGCTCGTACTTTGTCTGTGCGTGTGGCCAACAAATGGAACAGTGCAATGATGGCTCCTTCAAATTCCATTCCTGTTGGCAAAAGAGGGCACCAATGTGGTGAAGGAACGAACAAACCACTCTATTTGCTTCTCAGCTTATTAGTGGCCAAAATAAAGAGAGGAAAAGTTAGTCATGAGACTCATTCATGGCTCCCACTCCTACAGCCACAGGGGCAAAGCATGCATTTTCTGATATCATTTCTTTCTTCTGTAGAGGATTTAAACTGCAACAAAGTGCTGAATTAGCTGGTCTTAGGTCTTGGGCATGAGTTCATCACTCTGGATGTGTGGGATGATGATCACCAATCCAAAAAACGTAACTCCAAGTGTGTAGAGCTCTAACTGGAAGGGTTGGGTCACTTTCCTGGGAAGTCCCAGGGGCTGAGATCCTCCTCTCCACTGACTACACTTGTGCCTGCATGTGGTCCAACCCATTCCAAGTTCATGAATTGCTGGAGGAGGCAGTCTGGCACCAGAGCAAGCTGACAAGGGACGGAGAGTTGAGGAAAGGGGCCCCACCCAGAGGATCAGGCAGCAGGGGACATGTGCAGGGTCCATGAAGGTCCAGTCATTTCAGAAAGAGGAGAAATTCACTTTAGTTAAAAGCAGGGCTGGAGATGTCCAAGCAGTAAAGCACCTGCCTAGCAAGCACAAATCCCTGAGTTCAAATCCCAGTACTGCAAAACAAACAAAAACCACCACCACCACAACAATCAAAAGCAAACCATTCCCACTTTTTGGTAGGATGACAACAATGGCTGTGTCTTGTGCAGAACCCAGGGACATGAAGTCAGAGCAAAGATAGGCTTCTGACTTTATGAAGGAAGCCTGGATAGCTCAGGGAAGAAGAAACCTGCTCTTGCCCCTCAACTACTAATGGCCTGCCTCTCTGAGCTCATCCTCAAATAAGCTGCTCCAGCCACACACTGATCTTGGATGACAGGGGCATCCCTACCTCAGGGCCCTGAACCTGCTAGCTCCTTCCTTACCTCTTTCAGGACTATGCTCAGCTGTCAGTGAGGCCTTCCTGGACGACCCAGCACCATCTTCCTCCTGTGGTTCATGCTGATATAGGCCCAGGTTGCTACCTGACTCACCAAGCACTTTATACCTTGCATTCTCAAAGCCTACAGTAGTGTCTGGCACATAACAGGCAGCTGCTAAACATCTGCGGGATGAAAGGCTAGCTGACAGCAATGCCAGGGTTGGCCCTGGCTCTCTATTTTTATAATTATCTCTAGAAATTCACCGTGACTCTGAGAATAAGGCTGCTTCCACATGCTAGTGGTGCCACAGGGGTGACAACTGCTCTGCACCTGCACTGTCTCTGCTAATGCTTAGTTCTGGGCTCTTCCCTCTGCCGAGAAAAGCAGCAATGGTCAGTCTCTGCATGAAGGTTCTCCCCAACAACCTTTTTCCTGTCCCCTGCCAGGTGGTAGCAGCATTCCAGCTCAGCTGCACGGTGGCCCTCTGTGGGCTCTGCTTGACCCTCCCTAGGCATATCCTTCTGACCTCACCATCCTTGTCTGCCTCTGGCACCACCTGGTCCCCACAAACAGGCAGGAGATGTTTCATGAATGCACCTGATCCCGTCAGGCCCCAGATATGGCCTGTGACAAAGCCACCTTCACTTCTCAGCCTTTCATCACCTCGAACGTGCCTCCTTGTCCATCTCCCACATGCTCTCCCCCTAACACCCTACTCCACATTTTCATTAACACACCACTTCCCCAGCTACCTTCTCTGCCTGCCTTCCAGTGCGGAACGAGCCTCTGGCTGGCCCAACTCCTGAATGACTGGCACGCCTTGAGCCCCACTCTGCTGCCATCTCTCCCTAACGTGGGCATCCCCAAAGCCAGGTGGCCTTGTGAAGAACCTGAACTCCCAAAGTGCCTTCACCTACTGCGCTGCATCCAGTCTGTGGAGCCTGCCTCCCGATTTGCCCTGCATTTCCTAAGCTGTAGTAGGAACCCGGGAAGAGTCAGATCTCATGGTGCCCCCTCTGCCTCAAGCATTCCACAGGGAACAGTTTCCTTCATTAACTGGACATGTGAGGTTATATGATCTCTGGGGCCAGGAACCTGGTTTCTGCATTCAATTCCAAGAGAATACTCAAGTTTGTGTGAATATGTCTCACAGGACTCTCCTGAGTAAGTAACATAGGGACAAAAAAGAAAAAGAAAAAAGCCTGTTTTCTCTTACTCTAAGGCTTCTTCCCTTGTTTGTTTAGAAATGTTTAAGACCTCCTTGGCTCTCCTGCAGATACAGCATGGCACCCTGTTTGGTCTGCATCTGCGATGAGCAGGCCTCATTACTCTCAGGGGTTTTTAGAGAACTCAGGGCTTCACACTGTTGAAGGACATGCACTACCTCGAGCCCCCGCCCCCCGCCCCCCGCCCCCCTGGTTTTATGAGGCAGATATTGTCTTGAACTATAGATGGTCCAGCTGCCTCAGGACCACACCTTGCCACCACACCTTGGCTTCATGTTACTTTTCATTTAATCAGTCAAGGCTCAGTGGTGGAGGAAATCTGCCTCAAGCTGTACATGGATCATTGAAAGTAACAACCAGGATCTCAGCCCAGGTGGGAGGGCTGGGATGTAGCTCGGTGGTACAGCGCTTGCCTAGCATGCGTGAGGCCCTGGGTTCGATCCCAGCACCAAAAAAGAAAAGACAAAAAAAAAAACCTCTCCCCCTCAGCCCAGGTGGGAGACCCCCAAGTTCAAGTTCTTTCAAGGATACCCCTTATGCTTACTAATTCCATTTTTAGATAGTTATTCACTGAGAGAAACTGCAAAAATATATAAAGATGACTATGAGGGTGTTCACTGTATCAGTGTTGCAGTAAGGAAGTGACTTGGGTGTCTATCTGACAACTGATTTAAACAATGCCATCTTATCGCTGTAATGGAGGTTCACACTGTACGAAGAAGAATGAAGCAGGGCTCATGCCAAATGCCAAAGAAATACATGAACAGTGGAAGTTAGGTAGCATCGTGTGCACGAGCTCATCTGTGTACTGTCGCTGTGGGGGAGCCCGACCCTCACCTCGGCCGGTGTTGACGGTGGTGGGGCTGAATGCCTTCCAGACGATGGTTTCACAGATGTTAGTTGCGATGAAGAGGGAAATGCCAGAGCCCAGGCCATACCCCTTCTGCAGGAGTTCATCCAAAAGTAGGACAATCAAGCCAGCAACAAAAAGCTGAAAGAACAAAACGCAAACAGACTGCATGTCAAAGCTCCTCAAGGACACAGTCCTCTCCTTCCTTGGTAATTGGGTTCTCCAATGTAAACACTGAGGCTGAGCAGAGCCGGGGCTCAGAGGGGCAAACGCAAGGTCTCTGGCTTCTTCTCAGCAAGTCCCTTTAACGCATGGCTGAGGTTTGTCATTTGAGGGTTTCCTAGTGGGATGTTGAAACACTTACCTGAATGGTGATTAACAGGCAGATCCCAGCACCCATCTCAGAAGGGTCCCCATACATTCCCGTCATCACGTACACGATGGACTGACCAATAGTAATGATCATACCAAACACTGTAGGTCAGAAGACAATGGTGTTCTCAAAGGGGACGTTACAGAGGGGAGCTACTGACTACTCAGGGCCAGACATGGGGGAGAACAAAGATGAGCAATGCTGATACTGTCTGCAGAAGCTTGGTGGAGGAAGCACTCAACAGTCAGCAGTCACAGCAACAAAGGACATGGTACTCAGACACCTTTGACAGAAGTACCTGCTCTTTAGTTTTACGTCTCCTAAGCTCACTTTCCTTTTAGGCAAGAGATGAGGAGGAGTTGAAACATGGCAAATCTGGTCCTAATGAAAGGCAATGGGACAGCAAAATCCCCCCGAGACACCATTAGTGGAGGGTCAGGTCCTGGGGTCTGAGGGCTCCTAGGCTAGCCACATCTGGGTCACCACTAAGACTTACCTTCCAGGTCAAAGTTCAGAAATTTTGTAAGTTTTTTTGTTTTTAAAGGAGACAAAATCCATAGCACCATCACTATGGTTCCTGTTCCCACCTCCTCCTTACCAAGCTCTTCCTGTAGACTTGCTCCTTGTATTTCACTCTCAGGCACAATGATACTAACACATTTTATTGGGTCCTCAATATTAGTTGGGTCTCATAAGTAAGTTTGGGCTTTCTGTTTTTCTTTCTAGCTTGTCACATGGAATAAAATTTTTCTTGTGGGCATCAAATGTAGTCCCTGTTTGGCTTTTAAAAACTGCTCACCAATACTGAGTCACTTTTTAAATTTTTATTTACTTACTCATTAGTGCTAGGGATGCAGCCCAGGACCCTGTGCATGCTGGGCAAGTGCTCCATAACTGACTGCACCCTTAGTCTATAGCCCTGAATTCTGAAGGCAGAACAAAAGACTTGAAAACTTGTCAAGACCAAAAAGAAAAAAAGCTGACTTGTGGTTTCAAAAAATAATGCATACATATACTTTAAAATCTTGACTTATGTGTGAAACTGACAAATTTAAATTAGATGGTTTTCCTACTACTAACTTAAAAAAGATTTGTAAAACATGCTAGTGTGAAAGAAAACATGGATGAGTAGGAAACTCATCTACTTCAGCTCACAGCATGGCTGATTCTGAAGGCTGGTCACAGGTGATATTGACCCTAAGCCCCACTTTTAGGTGAAAAAACTGAGGCTTCAGAATGGTCATTATGCCTTCCCCACCTCACAGAGCTGGGAAACAGTACAGCTGGGCTGAGAGAGTCACCGTTCCCCTCTATTAAATCCTTTTGTGCCCCGAAGAAAGAAAACAACACTTGCCAAATAACTACCATGTGCCAGGGACCATGAGAGTGAAGCCTTACAACAGCCCAGAAGCAGATGTCACTTCCTTCTCAGTGGAAGAAAAACTGACTTCCAAGCCCTGCTTGTCCTCTTCCCCCATGGCCTCAGAGGCACTACTGGCCTGCCCTGCCTTGCCCAGCTCTCCCCCAGAAGTGCTATCGCTTAATAACACAGGTCACAGAGCAACTGAAGAGGTAGCAAGTACAAAACACAATTGTTTTAACCCCTAAACTTTAAAGCAAATTCAATTTCTCATCAGAACATTATACAGAAGCTTCCTTACACTTTTGGGCTCCATTGAAGAGAGCTCTGTCTTTTGGGGTGTCACCAACTTCAATTATCTTGGCACCAGCCAAGAGCTGCATGATAAGACCAGAGGTGACAATGGGAGAGATGCCTAGCTCCATCAATGTGCCTGGAGGAAAGGAGGAAAAACAGAGCCAATATTAGCATGGAAAAGCAAAACATTATTTAATAAAATGAATGAGCAAAACTGAATGGGTACGCCTTATACAAATTCAGTGTGTTTCAGTTTGCTAGCAGCATTTAATTTATAGAATAACCCCAAAATCTCAATGATTAGAATAAAAACGCATTCTATTCAGACTGCGAGGCAACACCTTTTTCTGTTTAGGAAGTCACATGGTGTCTAAACAGACTGCTGCATTGAAAATCACCAGCGATTTGCTCTGGTTTTACAGAGATAAGAATGGTTTGTCTCTTCATCAGCTAATAAGAAAGGACAACATTCGAATCACTCCAGAGTCGGGGAAGGGGTCGGTACAAGTGCATTTACTTGTCAATAAACTTCTACTTCCCATCTCACTAAAGTGAGTCATACTTCGGACTGATTTGGACCTTAATTTGAACTGTATTTTTAAAATGAGTTAATCAAATGCAGTATCAGCAAACACATTCAAAATCCTCCCCACGCCCCACAGGCAGACGGTTAGGGTTTACAAAACACCATTACATGTTTCTGACACATACACATAACCCATGGGTAACAAGATGTAGTTGAGAAACAAATTACATATTCTACAGAATGTTATCAATGGACATGTCATCACTTCAGGAATTAAAAGTATTCTAGTTTTCCCATGTTTTTAAAAATGCTACACAATGCAGACTTATCTTGTTATTATAGGTTTTACGTTGCATGCAAACCCAATTCCAAATGAGACGGATGGTTTTCCTCAGTGCTGAATGCAGCATTTAACGAGGCCATCAACATGGCGTACTGACCTTCTTCACTCTATTTTCCAGGCCACCTATCTTAGAAACTCTGAGCTGCATACAAAAGCCAAAGCCTATAATTAAAGCAAATGAGGCTTTTCACATCCACAGTGTGCAGAGAAAAGGCAGAGCGGGCTGGAGCCCTACCTCTGTTAGAGGCGAGAATCACCCTCATCCAGTAGAAGGGGTCAGCAGAGTCTGAAGACATGATACCAAACAGAGGAATCTGGAGACCAGAGGAGAGAACAGGGGTCAGCACACTTGTTCCCAGTCCACTCTTACCCCACCCCAACACAGAAGCATGGCATTACCTGACAGCACACTAAGAAGATAAAGAGGGTGATGGCGGTCCACAGCACTTTCTCCTTAAACTGAATCTATGGAAGGGATGAGTTAAAACAATGTTATCTTCACAAGCAAACTAATACAAATGGATTCAAATCAGATCCAATTCCCAGCTCAGCAGAGAAGCCGATCCATGTACCAAACAGTGTGTTAAAACACAAGTACCACTTGTCACATGCACAACACAAAGTCTTCATAGTCATCTCAGTCAATCCTCCCACTACACAGCATTATTATCTTTATGTGACAATGAGCAAGTGACTTTTGGACCCAAAGCCCACAGCTGAAGTGAGTTTGAGTCCAAAGCTGTGCTCTAAACCGTTTGCATTAGCAGTTTAGACTTAAGATCAAAGAATGTTACTAACAGAAAGTGACTTGTGAAGCAGCCTTTCCAACAATCAACAATCACTTTTCACCTGATGACTGGGTGAGTGATGAGTCATTATTCTGTATTCAACTAACTTCGAATCTGGGATTGACCCATATGTGTATTCTATGAATCAAAGGCAAATCCATCTAATAATATTGGGAGGGCAAAAGTATTTAGCTACTCACTAAATACTAGTAATATCAGCCAGCACCAGTGGCTCAGACCTGTAACCTAACTACTTGGGAGGCTGAGATCAGGAGGATTGAGGTTCAAAACCAGCCTGGTCTTAGCTTGCAAGCCCCCAGCTCCAAAACTAGTTCTGTTTAGCTTCAAGAACATTCACATCTTTTGGGGTATGTAGGTTAAGCAGGTGACAAGAATCATTTCACAGACTACCAGGCATCCTTAGTAAAGTTTAGACTCCTCCTGCCCAAGGCCTCTGTCACAAAGTAGTACAATGGGAACTCTCCCAGGACTTCTACCTCTAAAGTGTCTTCACTAGCACTAGCTGCCCATACAAGAGAGCTTAAGAAACACATTAATCATTGTGCAGACTGACAATTTTGCAGTGGAACGACCTTATAAGTGAACAAAATTGGAGAGGTAGAAAAGTCTGAAGAACACTGGCTCTGTCAGAACAGAAGTCACAGTCCTGTGGGCTCAGCAAGATGAGGGGTACACCCACACAAAGGTGCAGAGATCAGTGCTCAGACACTCCACGGGAAGCTAGGGGAAACCACAGCACTATTCTTCCTTTGAGAACACTCCCTTTCCCATCAGTCATCCTACCACACCAATGAATTAAGTGGGCTCAGGGAAGAAAACACCGTCTCAGTCTAACAAGCTTGCAGTGAAATCAAAATGAACCCAGGGCTGCATGCACTGTACCACTGAGCCACATTTCCAGCCTGTGAAATGAATCTTCATAAGGAAGAAAGCAGACACAATTTTCAAGACTTTTTATTTCTTAATGACTAAACCTCGTTAGTTATTTAACAGCAAACTTCAAAAGCTCTTTATGCAAACTCTGTCTCTGAAGCAGTCCCTGCATCCATCCTCAGCACCATGGTTCATCCTCCAGTGCAAAAGCCTCCCACCCATACTGTAGGATTCTCCTTCCTTACTTCCAAAGGGATCTACTAATCTGTCTGGCCCTTGTCACTCACCATCCATTACTTCCCACATTTGTATTCTATCAATATGAGCTACATCTGATGACCTGCCATCCAAACACAGTATGGTCTTGTCTTCTTTGCCTTTGCAAACTATTTTCCTTTGCCAGGAAGTTCTTTCCATACTTTCAAGAAAATCTATACTCCTCTTTCAAAACCACCACCAGACATCACCTCTTCCAGAGTTAATCCCTTCCTGAGCCACTGCTATATCTTGTACCTATTCCCTTAGTTCCAGCACACTTAGTTACAAGGCAAGGTCATAAAGCTTTTAATAGGGAGGGCAATGGTTGGAAGACAGACTCCATCCACTGTGCTTGAATTTAGACTGTAGGAGTTTACAAATGAGCCCATGAAAGGTAGCATGTAACTGAGGCATTTATATGAAACTATTTTAAGTAAAAAAACCAGAAGCACTCCTAAGTATCCATGCGGCTCTCAACTACACATGAACATATGTGAATGCAATGACAGTAATTTGAAAAGAAGGCAGACACAAAAATGTTTTACTACTCACTCTATGATGTCTGGGCCTAATGAAAGTTTCCTTCACTGGACATCACCAACACTCACTCTTGAACTGTAGCTGTGCAGCCATGGAAATTCTGATAGATTTAGCACAGTGCTACATTTCCAGCTTTCCTTGTTAAATGTGCCTGCCGTGAATCGCAGCAGACGATACAAAATAAACGCCTTTCCTCTCAGCACTGGGACAGTCTACTCGAAAAGGTACAAACTCATTCATACTGCCTTTCCCTTCAGCAGATGGACACTGGGGCACCTCCTGAAGGAAAACACACTCCGGGGTCACCTCCTGCTGGAGGTCAAGAGGAAAGGACAACTCGACCTGGGGATCCTGGCTGAGGCCCAGATCCTCCTCGGGGGCACGTCAAACCTGAGGCTTGGTTCTCTAGGCAACATCCAGGCAAGATGCCCCAAATAAAGCCGGGTGAACCACACAGCCAGGTCGCCTCTCGACAGCGCCCGGGCTTCACAGCACGCAGGGTGCACGCGAGCGGGAGGGGAGTTTCCTCTTGGAGTGCTGAAGCCATCTTTAACCGCGCTCCCAACTTCCAGCGCCAGTTCCAGCTAGCCTTTTCGACGGCCATGGGGCCCTTACCTTTCTCTCCGGCTTCTGAATTTCCGGCAGGATGACACAGAAGGGCTTGATGACTTCCAGAAACTTGACTTTGATGGAAGAAGCAAAAGAAAAGGAGTCAGGGCACAAAAACCTGCTGCTCTACCCGGGGACCCTCGTGCCCAGTACAAGGAGGAGCCGGGCGGGGACAGGCCTGGCCTGGGGAGCCGGGGACCTGGAGGAGGGCCGAGGGCAGGCAGCGCCCTGCGGGGCCCGGGCGGGCAAGGGGCCTGGCGGGTCCCGGCACCGCCAGCCGCCCCGAGGGACTTACTCGCCATGGTGGGGTCTGCTCGGGTTCCAGTTTCCGCTTCGGCTCCGCTCCGCGCCGGATGAGGCGACGCTGCCTGTTCCGGAGCGCGGCTGCTCTGCCGAGAGACACGTCAGTGCTACCCGGGCGGCAAGCGGCACCGCGCGGCGGGGCGGGTCCGGGGGCGGGCCGCGCGCCGCTTCCGCTTCCTGCCACGCGCGCCGACCGCCGCGCCGCCTCCGCGGAAACCACAATTCCCAGCATGCCACGCGGCGCTCGAGGCCTGTCGGGAAAACCGCGCGGGGCAGCTCGGGAAGCCGCGCCGGGAAGGGGCGTCGCCTAGGGGAGGCGGAGCCGGTGCGCGCTGGTGGAAAAATTGGAGCCAGCGCGAGACCGGCGGTGCAGGCTCGGGCGGCGTCGTGGCGTGCTTTTCACGGCACTCGAGGCCGGTGGAAGTTACGAGTAAGCCGGAAGCGCCAGCAAGCAGGCCTTGCCCCTCAGCGCCGGCACCGAGTAGGTCGCGGCGGTCACCTGCCGCCTGGGGCGCAGGCTGGGGTGGCGGACTCCCTGTGTGTTAAGTCAGTCAGCAAACATGCAGGCCGGTTCTGAGCGCTCACAAGCTGTTCCTGAGGCAGCCGTGGGGCGGACAGGGGCCGGGCAGCTCTCGGAGCGGCTTTGTGGCCGGCTTCTGGGGAGGACACCGTATGACGGTGGCGCCCGCGGTGTCTGGGGGGGGAGCGAGGGGACCCGGCCGGCCGGCCGTCCGCACCCTGCGCCGCCGATGGCTGCAGTACTGACATAGCCGGGCGAGGTGTCGAGGTAACCCGGTCTGTACCGATGACTGCAGACCGGTGCCGGTGGCCTTGCTGGTGGCCTTGGTGGCCCCCTGAGCAGCATTCACCACGGGGATTGCGGCTTTAGGAGAGTCGATGGGATTCTTTGGAAAGGAGGCTGTGCAGAGTCGTCCATAGCTTCACTCCTTTGCTCTAACAGAACAGGGACGTGCCTACAGTGAGGAACCAAGAAAATCTGGACAAATGAGCCCATGTTTTTGAATTGAGACTTGAACTCAGGGCCTCCTGCCTGCTGGGCAGGTGCTCCCGCCCTTGAGCCTCGTCTCCAGGGTGAACTTTTAATACATGCGTGTTGTTTATTGGTTGGTTGGCTGGCGGTACCCAGGGCCTTCGCTTGGTAGGAAGGCACTCTACCACTTGAGCCCTTAATACGGTATTTTTAAATAAAATAAGCATGAATCTCGTTAATCTCTGGAAGAGCAGTGAAGAAATGATAATAGTAATGGATCCCAGCTTGGAACGTCTCTTGATACGTGCAAGAGTCAGCACAAAGTAAAATTCGTGTTTTATGAAATTCAAGATCTAAGTCAAGTTACTCATTTTATTTCTCTAGTAAGCTTTTTCCTACTACCACACAACAAGTAAATACCAGAAATAATTGCGTTTTGAAGAAAATTGAACTTTGATGCACAACTTGGAGTGATAGCGCTCCAAAAGCAATCTGTAAAAGAAGTTCTGTATGTTCACTATAACAAGTGGAATATAATCATTTGAAAAGTACATTTTAAAGCGTTTGGCTTTAATAAATGATATTTTTAATGGAGTTGTCAATATTTAATTTTCAAGAAACATTTTTTAGGCTGGTGCTGGGGACTCATGCCTGTAATCCTAGCTACTCAGGAGGCAGAGCTCAGGATGATCCAAGTTCAAGGCCTGCCTGGCCAAATAGTTAATGAGACCCTGTCTTGAAAATACCTAACACAGAAAAGGGCTGGTGGAGTAGCTCAAGCGGTAAAGTGCCAGCCTAGCAAGCATGAGGCCCTGCGTTCAAACCCCAGTACTGGCAAAAAAAAAAAAAAAAAGTTTTAGGTATTAGAGCCAGCATTTTTTTAGTGAACTATAAAATAGTTTGGCAAATTTAAAATGGAAAATTTTGAAACAAGTGGAAGATCATGTGTGTGTGTGTGTGTGGTGTGTATGGTATACCATTTGAAAACAATTAGGATTTTCTAATACTTAATACGAAAATGTATAATGATGACAAAATGAGAAATGTATCGAACTTTTCAATTTTCCTTTTCACTACCTTTTTGCATGTGGTGCTGGAGATCAAACCCAAAACCTCTTGCGTAATAGATAAGTATTCTATCACCGAGCTACATCTCCAGCCTTCAGTTTTTTAGGGTGGGGGTGTGGGTCTGATAGTACTGGGGTTTGAACTCAGAGCCTCACACTTGCTAGGCAGGAGCTCTACCACTTGAGTCACTCTGCTAGTCCAGCCCTCTATTTCTTGGATCCTGAAATTTGGCCTACAAAAAATATTAAGTTAAACCAATTGGTTAGAAGGTATTTCAATAAGTGATTTTTGTGACTTAAATAATAACAGAAATTGAGTATCAGAAGTCTCAGGCTATATTACACAGTTACAAAATATTTAAATGCAATTGTTACTCATCAGATGCAGAAGATTCAACTATTATCACTAATGGTAAGGAAGAGTGTATTTGAACAATCATCTGTATATTAATACAGTTCAGTATTTTCAATCTCATATTTTTGGGAGGAAGCTTGTTTTGTTTCAGAAATGTCGAGAGATCCCATAAAATATGAAGTCTAGAATTCTTACTTTTTAAAAAAAAAAAATCAGAAGATCTGACATAACTGGGTCTATATTCCTGCATGACAGAAACCAGCCAAATAAGCCAGGTGTGTGGTGGTGCACACCTATAATCTCAGCACTTGTGAGGCAGAGGCAGGAGGGTCATGAGTTTATGGTAGTCCTGGGCTACATAGTGAGATCAAGGCCAGCCTGGGCTAGATGTTGAGGCCCTGTCTGAAAAAACAAAAGGAAACTGGGAGGCCGGGCACTGGTGACTCACACCTGTAAGCCTAGCTACTGAGGAGGGAAGGTATCAGGAGGATCACAGTTCAAAGTCAGCCCGGGTAAATAGTTCTGAGACCCTATCTCAAAAAAAAAACCCATCACAAAAAAAGGCTGACAGAGTGACTCAAAGTGTAGATCCTGAGTTCATCACCCCCTCGCCCCCCCCATAACCACCACCCTGACGTTTTGCTTTATAGGTTACCTGTTTTGGAGCTTTGAAAATATTGAAACATTCTCCAATTGTGGATCCTTCATGTCTGAATCCTCTTACCCTTATGTCAGCTTCATCCATATTGCATGATTTGTTCCTTTTTATTGTTTTATAGTACTCCACTATAATTTATTTGTTCCTTTGTTGATGGAGAATTACATTGTTTCCAGTTTTTGGCTATTTTTAATAAAGTTATGAATATTCATGTACACATCTTTGAGTGACTATATTATTATTTCTCTAGAGTATTTGTCTAGGATCAGAATTGCTGAGTCTGGATGTGTAGTCATTATTCCAAATAGTTATATGTTTGGTTAAAATCCATATTTTGTTTTTAAGAAGGAGAGAATGAATGTTGTAAGCTAATCAGCAATCAGTTGGTGCCCCACTGTTACCCCTGGGAGCCAAACCATCCCAGTGTTCACTGCAAATCTTTATGTCTCTCTCCAGCCTTGCCCTCACTGCCCTTCTCTCTGCAGTACTGTCCTGCTCCAGGCCTTTTCTCACACTCTCTTCCTCACCTCCCAGCCTTGCCTCAACTTAGGACATCCATTCATCCCTTAAGCTCAGTACAAATGTTACCACCTACACTAGCCTCGTGTACACCCACAAGTTGGGACTGATTCCCTGATACCATCTGCTTCTGGTGTGCTGTACCTTAACAAACTCATGGAGCACGTTTGCCTCGCTATAGTTATCTCACGGTGGCCCCAAATTTAGAAGTGGAAGGGTCATTCAAGGTCCTAGAAGGCTCCATAGGAGCTTGGTTACCCACTCCCAAGATGATGGGTAGGATCTCCAGGCCTTTATTTCCTATCATCACTCACTTTTCTTCCCTTCCTTCCCAGTCCATCATTCCAGTAAGTAAGGACTAAAGCCCTTGCACTTGTGTCTTTCAAAGCATGAGTCTGGCAAAATCCCACCTATGGAGCAATAACCATCCGCTTTGACCTCACTGTCCCACAGAGCGCAACATCACTGGGCAGGTTGGAACCACGGTAAAGTCCACTCAGTCTGGGCACTGCCTGGGACATGTGCCTGTGCTTGCTCAGTCAGTTCATGCTGGTGCTATGCAGCCACTGGCATGGAATGGGGAGGCAGTGGCGCCTTAGAGAGGTGGGAGGCCTTTAGGCTAGTAGGGGCTCACCCATGAAGGAATCTTGGGACTCTGGTCCCCTTCTCTTGCTTCTTGGCCCTGAGGTGAGTGGTTTTTGCTCTGCTCTGCACTTATATGATAGATGTGCTGCCTTGGCACAGGCCCAAAGCAACAGGGCCAACCAACCATGGCCTAGACCGCCAGTGCTGTCAGCCAAAATAAGCCTTTTTATAAGTGACTGTATCAGGTATTTCATTACAGTGAAGAAAAGCCGGTAGTCTTTTTTTCCTTTAAAAACTATTAGCTGTGCTTAGTGGCGCACATCTATAATCCCAGCTACTCGGGATGGCGATTGGGAGGACTGCTGTTCAAGGACAGTCTGGGGACAGAGTTAATGAGACGCCATCAATAAACAAATTGGGCACAGTGGTACTTTAGCTATAATCTCAGCTGTGCCAGAGGCAAAGGTGGGAGGATCATGGCCCCAGGCCAGCCGGGCAAAAAGCACAAAACCCTATCTGAAAAGTAACCTAGACAGAAAGGTGTGTCTCACCAAGCACAAGATCCTGAGCTCAAACCCCAGTAGCACCAAAAAACCAAACCAAAACAGAAAATCCAGACTGTTAAAGATAATTCACCTACATTAAGATCTGCTCTTTTTATGAACAGTTCTATAAGTTTTGACAAACGTGTAACCGTCGTTCAACCACCAGCACAATCAAGACACAACCATCACCCCAAACTCGCCATCTACTCTTGGAGGTTGACCTCTCTGTGCCTTCCTCAGGTCCTGGCACAACTGTGTGTCTCCCACTCCTAGAGATGCCTTTTCCAGAATGTTATGTAAACAGAATTGTGTAGTCTGTAACCTTGCGAACTTGGCTTTTCCTGAGGATCCCACATCTGAGACTCCTCCCCATGTGCACATCCATGGTAGCATTCTCTGAGTGATGTATCAGTTTGTTTATTCATTCACCAATTGAAGGATGTTCTGGA